ACTGTGGGTTTCTCAAGGCAGGGGCCCTGCTCAGGGGCTTCAGTCACTCGCTGCGTGGACCCGGTGCTCACCAGCCTTCTCCAGGCCTCGAGCTCTGAAGGGAGAGTCACAGGGTCCACCTGCTGTGGCTGGGCGGATTACAGGTCTGCCCCGGGGGGTGTTACCGCCCCTCCCCTGCCTTCCGAGGCCTGGGAGGGGTGGAGAGGCACAGGGGATGGATCCTCACACCCCTTGGTTCTTTTAGGGTCCCTCTGCCCACCTCAGAAAGCTTGGCTCAGTTCACCTCTCCTGGCTCAACCGTGCACGTGTGCATGCGTGTCCTCCCGGAACCTGACCGACACGGGCCTGGGCAGACGCACCAGACTGTGCGTGTCGATGGGCTGGGCTGTTTGTGCCCAGGGCCCGTGGTCGTGGTCGGGAACAGCATTACTCAGTTGGGACCCTTCTCCCGGACTTGCCCTCTGCTGCCAGACCCCGTCCTGCGGGCACAGGGAGAGCCCCTGTGATCTGAGAAAACCACTGAATTCAAGTGTCTAGCTCGACTTACACGAAGACACCAGAGCTGCACGGAATCTACGCAAACACTCCTTAGGGGAGAAGCAAGTGGAACATGACCCTCTAAAGAAAAAGGCTTTTTAAGATTTCTCTTTTCTTGACCACGCTGGCAAGGTATGGGATGCCTGGGGCAGCGCTGGGGAGGGTTGGGGGGACAGAGAGACAGAGGCATTACGTTCTAGAATATCAGGTTCATGTGCGCCCTGGCCTCCCCGGTGGAGCCCAGCACCGTAGCCTTGCCTTCAAGCCCCTTGGCCACGCCACTCACCTTTATTTGGTAAGCTACTCCTGCCTGGGAGCTGCTGTGACCCAGGCTCTGTGCCAGGCACCTTCCCTGCTGGAGTTCACGACCACTTACGAGGGAGACAGGCCCTTCGATGTGACCCCAGAACTTGACTCCATCTCTGCCCTGTTGCCTCTGACGCCAGAACCCTCGCCCTCGCTGGGAGCTCAGAATGTGACCTTGTGTGGAAGAAGGTTGCTGTGGATACAATTAGCCATGTTAGGAAGTGATGGCAGGGAGGGCTCTAAGCCAGTGTGGTCCAAGAGGAAGAGGAAAGGGAGCTATGAGGGCGGACAGACTCAGGGAGCACCAGGGAAGGACCACAGCAGAGGTGGGAGGGATGCATCTACATGGCCAGGAGCACCAGGAGCGCTGGAGAGAGGCCTGGGCAAGTTCTGTCCTGGAGCCTCCAGGAGACCCCCACGAGGCTGATAACTTGCTGGCGGACTCCTGGCCTCCAGGACTGAGAGACCAGACTCCTGCTGCCCAGGGTCTTCGGTGTGGCTGCAGTGGGCAGAGCTGGTGGGGGCTGGGCGGCACCTGCCACAGGCACACACAGGGGGAGGAATTCGCAGGAGGGGTGTGAAGGTTGCGGAGGGAGGCCTGAGCCTCCGGCACAGCCAGGTTCTGCAAGGGGCTGACTCATCGTCTGGGAATGGCCCCACGGCGGCCTTCCGGCCTTCCAGACTCGGGGCCCACCCAGACCCCGGGAAGCCTCCCGGGCAAGAAAGGGGCTCAGCCTGCTGAGTTCTTGCAGAGGACCGTGTGCAGGCAGCTCCTACATCTTCTTTCATCCTTGCTGCCACCTGGCCTCCTGTCACAGACGGGGAAACTGAGACCCAGGGAGGAGAAGAGAGTGGCCAAGAGTGTGGGGCTGCCCGGGTCTGGTTCCAAACCCGTGCTCTTCCCCGCACACATCCTTGAGCGCTGCCCCGTCTGGCAGGGAGACAGGCAGGTACACAGAGGGCATCATTACCCCGCGAAGGGGCAGCAGGAAATGCAGACTGCCAGCCTCGGGGGGAGCCTGTGGGCATGAAGGGTGAGAAGCACCCCGGGCTTGGGGCTTCTCACCAGAGCCAGAGGGGCATGGGGGCTCTCAGGAGCGGGGGCAGAGGGCGGAGCAGGGGAGGGACTGCCCCCCCCCCAGCTCTGCAGCCTGAGGGCCAGCCCTGGCTCAGCCAGGGGCCTTGGGCTGTGGCTACAGGGATGGCTCAGCTTCCGGAACGTCCAGGTGCCAGGCTCCAGGTGGCCCCAGGCAACTCTGCAGAGGATAAGGGGGTACTGGGGTGGGGTGCAGCAGCCCAGCGGGGGTCTTAGAGGGTTCCCACCACTGTCTGGTGTGGTAGAGGCAGCTCCCGCCAGGGCTTGGCACCACGTGAACGCAGAGCCACCTCCCTCCCCCCTCCCAGCCTCCCCCTGATTAGCTACAAGTCCTCTGGCAAGGAGCTTCGATTCTCCAAGCGCTGGTGACTTCCTCATCCACGGGCCCTTGCACACAGAGCTCGCACTATCTTCAGTCTCCAGGGTCACCCCGAGACTCTGGAAAGATCGCATTCACAGAAAACCGAGGGTTGAGATTAGCACAGCATTCCTTCACTCCTTATCTGGGCTTCTTTGTATGAATACCAAAGCAACTAAAGGTTATCAGTTAGCACAGAGATAGCAGGATTTGGGCTAGATAATGAGATTTGCACAATCACCATCCAAGGGAAATGGGGATATCTCACGTGGGTCCTGGGCCACGCAGACCTTCTGTGGCTTTGAAGTCCTCCGACGTTCTGGGGCAAGTCAGGAGCCTGGGGTGTGAGGTTTCCCTGGGCCTCTAGAGGGCAGGAGCAGAAAGTAATGAACGCAAGACGCGGGAAGTGCCCTCAGCCCAACAGAAGGAGCTTCATTAGGGTGAATTCTTTCGGGCATGGATGCTGGTACTGGCCTCCCCCACACCTCCTCAGCTGGCGCTCTGCAAATGGCTGTGTCAGCCAGGGGTCTCTGGAGAAACAGCACAGTCGGAAGATGGAAGGAAGGAAGGAAGAAAGGCAGGAAGGAAGGAAGGAAGGAAGGGGGACTGATGGACAGATTGGTTTTAAGGAACCGGCTCCTGTGATTGTGGGGACTGGGGATTCCTCAATCTGTAAGACAGGGCAGCGGACTAGAAACTCAGGCAGGGGTCGAGGCTGCAGTTTTCAGGCAGAATTTCTTCTCTGGGAGCCCCCAGCTTTTACTCTTATGACCTTAAACCAATTGGGTGAAGCCCACCCACATTGCGGTGGGTAATCTTCTTGACTTCAAGTCAACAGATCCTAGCTGTCAACCAATGCTAATGTCATCTACGGGATCCCGGCAGCACCACACCTAGATTAGCATTTGATCAAAGCACTGTGTGCACTACCCCAGCCAGTCGGACTCCTACAATTAACCCCACCGCTGGCGTGGACAGAGCTGCCTATAACTGAGAAGAGGAGCGAACAATGTGTGTTAGAGGCCCACACCTCCTGGGGTGGCCGGACGTTGAAGGTGTTTTGTGAAACACGGCCTTTGCCCACCTCAATCCGATGTCTGGACCGGGAAGGGGTGCGGCCACAGCTTTGACATATTCCCTGTCCCCTGCAGGGAGGATGGTCAGCAGACCCAGGGGGCAGGGTCCCCAGGAGGGAGTCTCGGTGGTGAGCCGGGGGCGGTGGGGAGGGATGGGACTGTCAGTGGTTATGGAAGGCTACAGAGAACAGCATTTCTCCAGCCGTGATGAGCACCTGGAACTGTAATTCACAGCTCCAGGGAGCGGGCTGAGGATGAGGGTGGGGACAGCTTCCAGGGGGAAGTTACCGGAAAGTGGTTTGGAGGACCAAATTAGTGGTTCGGGAGGAAAAACACATTTTCAGGGGGAGTCACGTTTCACATTTCTGACACAATAAGCTTAAAATTCTTGTGGGGCGATCAGGTGGGGACTTGTAGAAATATGGGGGGCCAGGAGTGCCCCCTGGGGGACGTTTATGACTGCTTCGTATACAGCCCCCTGCGAGGGCTTGTGCTGGGTCCCTAGGTGACCAGGAAGGCTGCTCCATGTGGTAGTGGGGACAGTGGCCTCGATGACACGAAGGGCCTTGACCAGACCCCAGCTCAGCTGCCCCCCGATGGGGACCCTTGAAACTGTGTGCCACGCAGGTATGTGTTCACCCATCCCCAGGAAAGCGCCTGATCACTCACCAGTCTCACCCCGTATGCCCTCTGGCACACCTGGGTTAGGCTGCCACCAGGCCACACAGTGGACACATCGCACACCAGGGCTGCACCTGGACACTGGCACTTGGTGACGATCCTCACCTGCCAAATGCAGAGATTGGGTTCTTGTGAGAATCAGTGCATAACATGTAGAGTGTTAGAACAAAATTGCAGACATGTATGTGTGTGACTCAGTGTCACCTCCTTTCCACAGCTCCTCCTGTGTCTGCTGATGGTTCTGCCCAAGTCCCGCTTGGGGTGGGTCCAAGGGTTTCCTCTGGGTGTGTCTTCCAGGCAGTGAGCTAAAGGGCACTGAGCATCAGTCCACCTGTCTCAGCACTGAACCCAGGACTCGTCACAAATGTCCTCTGTGCTCCAGACAGTGCCCTGGGGCCAGCACTGGCAGAGAGCAGGTCGGGGTGGGGGGGTACAGGCAGGTGCCAGACTGCTTAGCTTCAATCCTGCTGCAGCCTGTGTGTGTTCACAGAAAGAGGAGGCGAGGTTGATGGATTGAGAGAGAGGAAGAGAGAGGTAGAGCGCAGGAGAGAGAGGGAGAGGCCCCTTGGAACCGCGCCTGGAACAAAGTGAGCACGCTAAAAGCGCTTTTATAAAACAAAGACCGAAAAAAAAAACCCCACAAAAACCCTTTGCACACACGTGGAGAGCGCAGCTAGGCGAGATGGCCGAGGCCCCCAGCTCCCAAGTGCAGACGTGGACTTGTCCCCGGGGGCCCCATCAACCCTCTGCACCAGTGAGCCTCCAGAGAGGGCTGCCGGGCGGCCCCTAAGCTGGGACCCGCGCGCAGCAGCTTGACGCCGGGCCTTAGGTCCCGCCCCGCCCCGGCCCTCCGGGAGGGTGCGGAGGGAGGAGCCGCGCGCATGTGCACAGCTGGCGCCCCCCGCCCCCAGCGCACAGCTGGGACGTGGGCCGTGTGGGCGGGCGCAGTCCGGAACCCTCAGGGTCGCGCCGGACCCTCACGGTCCTCTTGCGTCCGAGCGTCGCGCGCCCAGGGCCATGGCCGTGCGCCCCGCGGGCCCCGCGCGTCGCTGCCTGCTGGCGCTCGTGCTCTGCTGCGGCTGGGGGGCGCTGGCCACTGTCGCCCCGAAGCCGGGCGCCGGCTGTCCGAGCCGCTGTCTGTGCTTCCGTACCACCGTGCGCTGCATGCATCTGCTGCTGGAGGCCGTGCCCGCCGTGGCGCCGCAGACCTCCATCCTGTGAGTGCGGGGGGCATGGGGCCGGGGGTGGGTGGGTGAGGGGCCCGGACGGGGGACCCGAGGGCGTAGGCGGGGCTGTGGGTCTGGGGGCCGGGCAGTGGCCCTCCGGCCTTTGTCCGCCTTGGCCCGGGCGCGGAGGGCGGACCTGAGCGCGGGGCGCGCGGCCTCCGGAGCTTCCTTTGTTAGCAGCTTGGAATCCCCGGCTGGACGGGGAAGCTGTTGGGGCAGCCCGGGAGAGCCCCGCTCGCCGCCCCCGCCCGGCCCCATCCCTGTCTGTTCGCGCCCCCTCCGCGCCCAGTTCTCCCTGCTCCCGCCCCTCTCCGTCCCCACCCTACCCGAACGCGGTGTATCCCCCACCCCTCCTCTCCGTCCCCTCCTCCGCGCCTCCCCGTCCCCCTCCCCGTTTCCCTCTCCTGTTGGTTTCCCTCCTCCGCGCCCCCTTCTCCTCTCTGCGGCCTCTCTCGGTCCCCTTCCTGCCCTAGATTGGTGCGCCCCGGCACCTCCCCCCCCCCAGGACCGCAATAGCCCCGTCCCCTCTTTGGGGGACATTCCCTCGCGGACCCTCAGAGAACTTTAGCGGCGCCCTTTCCCCTCAACCGCTGGGCACCGAGAGCCTCCTGCCCGGGTATCCCCGGCTCGAGGGGCGCGCGTTCCCTCGGACTTTTCCGGTGCCCCAGGGAGCGCGGTAGCAGTGGTGCGGGTCTGCGAGTTCCGGGGCAGCTCGGGCGTAGACGGAGGACTCGGAGCTCGTTTCCGCCCCGGCGCGCCTCTCGCGGGGGTGCCACACTCGCTGCCACTTGGCGCTCAAGTGGGTACAAAGTGTCGCGCACTTGGCCCCTGCGCGGCGCAGACACCCGTGCAGATCTCGCCTCTCCCCAGAATGCCGCCTCCCCGGAGGCCGACCCCGACCCTCGGCCGCAGCCCAGGCCTAGTGCGCCCCGAATTGGCTGCAGGCCTCGAGGTTTCCGGATGCGTCCCTGATTAGAAACTCTCCAAATCTGTAAAGGCAGGCATGCCTTTTAGGCGCCGACTGTGTCCGCGTCCTACAGCTGCCCTTCTGGATGCCAAAAATAGTTTCCACTTTTCTTGCCTGAGCCCGACTCATTTTGGCACCGCCCAAGAGCCTGCAAAAGTTGTAAAATCTTGAGTGAACTATAGGAAGGGGGCGGACTCCGTTGGAACTTTGAAACCGAGTACCTGGCAGACCACCTCTCTCAGGGGCCGCTGACTCTGCAGGCAGCTTCTTGGGGTCTTTGGCCGGGGTCATTCTCAGCAATGCTGTTCCTTCCAGAGAGAGAAATCAGTTTTCCTCCCAGAGGGTCTGTGTAGCCAACCAAGGCGGACATCCAAGAGGGCATCACACTCTTAAGTAACGGACTCCAAGGCAGGCACAGCGAGGGTTGTCTGGGTATGGATAATTTTTTTACTGAGTCGGTGTTAGAAAATTGGACCCTGAAGCCACTTTTCACATCTGGCCAGTACTGTGCTTTGCCACCAAATCTTAATTGCTTTTTAAAAAGAGCAGTATTTTAAAATATGAGGGTTGCAGAACAAAAATGGGGTCTTCCGGCTTACTGTGCATGGCAAAATTCCCCACAGAAACTTAAAGTGTTTCTAAAATAGCCAAGGAAAGTGACATCATAGTGAACACTCACAAGATTTCCAGAAAGCTTTCATTTGCATAAACTTTACCTTATATCTTCACGGATTTTGTAGTTTCAGAAATGTTTTGAAAGGACCATGCTTAGTCTCACGGATTCTGTGAGGCAGGCGGGACAGATGGTCTGCTGACCAAGTCCCTTATAGAAGGAAGACGACTTGCACAGATTATTGGTGTAATGAACACAAACCCATTTTACCACCCTGCAGACTCAGGTCCAGAAGAGGGAGCCTGCTGTTGGAGACCCTGGGACCAGGGTTGGGCTGACTCCTGCTGTGATAGGTTTCAGTGGGAGGACGTTTTGCAGGTCACTGGGCCCTGGACTGAGGTCACAGGAGCAGGCTAGTAATGGTGAGGACCTAGGCTTTGGGAAACGGAGGGGACAGTCCAGATGAGAAGCCTGTGCGGGGCACGCAGGAGATGAAGGGGGGGAGGGTGCGTCTGAGGTGCCACGCTGCTCATCTCTGGGGTCTGGTCAGTTAGAGTGGGTGCTCGGTAGGTGCAGTCACATGACAGACTACTCATGCAGAAATATTTAATTTTCCCCCGTGGCTTGTTTCCCAGCTCTCTGCTCTCATACACCAGGATTTTTTTTTCTTCTATTTTTAAATTATTTGGTAGAAATTGGGAACTTAAAAATATGAAGATAAAGACAGAACCTGGCCCCCAAATTAGCTGGACCTTGTGACCCTGCATCATCCCTTTGCTTTCGAGACCTCCCCCATCGCCCCCCCCACCCCCAAAAAAGATTGACTCAGAGCCACTGGACCTCTGACACTTCCCACAGTATTTCGGGAGTGTGTTCACGCGGGGCGGAACCGGGTTGTTGAGCTTCAGAAATACTGGTCTGTGGCCGCCCTGTGGTTCTGGTGTGTTTGGCCCCAGCTCGTGCCCACTGGCAGCATCTGCTGGGTGTTCTAGGACGAACTGCACCGGCCCCCTGAGGTCTGGAGCCTGGGGCTGTGGTGGGTGGGCTGCCCTACCCCTCTGGCCTGCAGGCCAGCCACTTGGCTGCCTTCATGGGCTCCTTCCCCACCAGCTGCTCTTCTGTACACAGGCCTGTTCCGGTCTGGAATGTTCTAGTCTGTTAAGCACCGCAGTAGAAGCTTGTCACCACGATCATTAAAAAGCGAGTCCTAAAACAGTGTGACATGTCTGCCCTTCTTGCCCTCCTCCGGGGTTCTGGCCTGGGGCTGGCGGGCCCTCTGCCCTCTCCAGCCTCCCCCAACCCCTTTCTTGCCCTGTAGCCTCCATTGTGAGGTCATGGGAATCTACTCCAAAACTGACATCCATCAGACAGCCAGGCCATGCCAGACCACTGTCCATGTGACAGGAAGCCCTGGGCGGGAGGCAGCCTGGGGACGTAGCCCAGCCCCAAAGCAGGCAGGGGGCTCTGCCAGCCAGACAGCTGCCCTGTTCTGCCGCCTCAGCTTCCTGATCACCTAGCGGGTTTGGGGATCTGTGGCCTGGATGCAGCCCCACCCAGGGGTGCAAGAGGCCCTGTGGAGCACTGGAGAGCGGGGCCTGCGGGCAGGATGAGGAGCCACTGGGGCAGGGCCCTGGAAGCAGCTAGGGGCAGCCACACCACTGTGTGCCTGGGGACCCCAGGGCTCCCGCTTCATGCGGGGAGGGGACCCCAGGGCTCCTGATTCATGGGGGGACCCCAGGCCTCCCGCTTCATGGGGGAGGGGAATCCCAGGGCTCCCACTTCATGGGGGAACCCCAGGCCTCCCGCTTCATGGGGAGAGGGGAACCCCAGGGCTCCCACTTCATGGGGGGACCCCAGGGCTCCTGCCTCATGAGGGAGAGGGGACCCCAGGGCTCCTGATTCATGGGGGGACCCCAGGCCTCCCGCTTCATGCGGGAAGGGAACCCCAGGGCTCCCAATTCATGGGGGAACCCCAGGCCTCCCGCTTCATGGGGAGAGGGGAACCCCAGGGCTCCCACTTCATGGGGGTACCGCAGGGCTCCTGCCTCATTAGGGAGAGGGGACCCCAGGGCTCCTGATTCATGGGGGGACCCCAGGCCTCCTGCTTTATGGGGGGGAAGGGACCCCAGGGCTCCCCCTTCCTGGGGGTAGGGGATCCCAGGGCTCCCGTTCATCGGGGGAGGGGAAACCCAGGGCTCCCGCTTCATGGGGGGAGGGGACCCAGGGCTCCCACTTCGCGGGGGGACCCCAGCTTCCCGCAGGCCCCTCTGGGGATGGTGATACCTAGCGGCCATCTTCGTCCCTCTCACTTGGTCCCCCGTCCCCTGGAGACGAGCCCCCCCTGCGTCACCCGCCTCCCTGGGAGCTCCCCAGACCTGGCCATCAGAAGAGTCTCATTTCCCACCAACTTCCCTTTGCACAGGGATGAAGTCCTGCTCACAGGGGTTCAGCAGAAAGGTGTCCGAGGACTGGGAGGTGGGGGGTCCTCCAGCTGCTCCTCTCTCTACACGTCTGTGTTGTCCCTTCGGCTCATAGGAAGCTCCTCACTCCTGACCCTGCCCTCTGGGGATGCCCTCAGCTCCTGGGGAGGCTGGCCTGAGGGCTACAAGGTCAGTCCATGTGGGTCCTCTGGGCTCTGCAGGGCCCTTGGGAGCAGTGTTTAAGTTGGAGTCTTTGGCTTACTTAAAACAATTCCTAATTTTCCTTGTAAGTTCCTTGTTATGATGAAGTCAGAGTCTTTATTATCACAGCGCGAATGGATTTGACAAGCACTATAGGAATATTTTAAATGTAAGGTGTTGGTAATCTGTCTTCACAAAACAGTGATGGACCCACTCCCTGCGTGGCCAACTGCCGCTTGGGGCCGTGTGCAGGGCAGCTGCTGGCTGTCACTTGCCAGGTGGCCGGTGTGCTGGGGTCAGGACGAGCTCCGAGAGGGACCCGGCCTCGGAGAGCTGTGAGTGTGGCGTTCGCCATCGGGGAGTGGGTTCTATGTGTGGTTCGGGTGTTTGGAGAGCTGGCTTCCTTCTCCGTGTTTTCATCCAGTCAAGGGAATACATGGAAAAGGAATGCTCCTCAGTCCCTGCAGCTCTGACTCCAGAAGGTCGCCCGGCTCTGACTTCAGCTTGGCGGCAGGCCCCATGCTGGTCATGCTTCATTGGCTTCCTTCTCTGCCCGGCCCTGTGACTCAGTTTCCCTCCATAGAGATGCCTGGCAGCTGTGGGCTTCCCTTCGGATGGCCTGGGTGCAGCACGAGCAATTCGGTGTCCAGGCACAAGCTCTGGGAGTTGTTCTGGAGCGCGAAGGTGTCTGCTCCGCCCGAGACACAAGCGTTCCTCACAAGGGAGTGTTGGGCAGACCCGACTCTCTTTTGCACCGAGTGAGGCTTCAACATTGTAAGTGTCTGCAGAA